TTTAATCAGCCCTAAGGTGTCATACATCAAAGGGGGCTCTGAATCCGGAGATTTAGTTTGGCCAATCGTGATATCCACGAAGGGCGCTCTGAATCCGGAGTCTTTAATCGGCCCTAAGGTGTCTTGCACCGAAGGGGGTTCCGAATCCGGAGACTTTAATCGGCCCTAAGGTGTCATGCACCAAAGGGGGCTCCGAATCCAAAGACTGTAATCGGCTCCGAATCCGAATCCGGAGATTTTAATTAGCCCTAAGGTGTCATGCACCAAAGGGGGCTCCGAATCCGGAGACTTAGTTTGGCCAATCGTGACACCCACGAAGGGCGCTCCGAATCCAGATTCTTTAATCGGTCCTAAGGTGTCTTGCACCGAAGGGGGCTCCGAATCCGGATACTTTAATCGGCCCTGAGGTGTCTTGCACCGAAGGGGGCTCCGAATCCGGAGACTTTAATCGGCCCTGAGGTGTCATGCACCGAAGGGGGCTTCGAATCCGGAGACTTAATCGGCCCTGAGGTGTCATGCACTAAAGGGGGCTCCGAATCCGGGGACTTAGTTTTGCCAATCGTGATATCCACGAAGGCGCTCCGAATCCGGGGTCTTTAATCGACCCTAAGGTGTCTTGCACCGAAGGGGGCTCCGAATTCGGATACTTTTATCGACCATGAGGTGTCATGCACCAAAGGGGGCTCTGAATCCGGAGACTTAGTTTTGCCAATCGTGATATCCACGAAGGGCGCTCCGAATCCGGAGACTTTAATCGGCCCTAAGGTGTCATACACCAAAGGGGGCTCCGAATCTAGAGACTTTAATCGGCCCTCAGGTGTCATGGACCAAAGGGGGCTCCGAATCCGGAGATTTTAATCGGCCCTAAGGTGTCATGAACCAAAGGGGGCCCTGAATCCGGAGACTTAGTTTGGCCAATCGTGATATCCACGAAGGGCGCTTCGAATCCAGAGATTTTAATCGGCCCTGAGGTGTGATGCACCAAAGGGGGCTTCGAATCCGGAGACTTTAATCGGCCCTAAGGTGTCATGCACCAAAGGGGGCGTTGAGAAATGAATGGTGCCACGAAGAAAAATGGTTTGCATTGCAGAAGTGATATATATACAAGTATCAAAGCCCACAGGTCGGGTCAGTGATAGGGTTTTCATTAAATTTCTGCTTGTGCCGATTGGGGGGAGCCACGGATCTCTTCAATGCCATGGGCTGTCGGGAAGCGCACAAGCTGATGATAAGTGCTTGGAACGGCCTTCATAATATGTATCCAGGTTCGCCCCATGATGACATTATACGGCGAAAGGAGCTTTACGACCAGGAATTCTACTTCGACCGTTCTGGAGCCCGCTCGAACAGGTAGTATGATCTTCCCTAACGAGTATTCAGGATTCATATTAAAGCTGAACAATGGGTGAGGCGCCGGAGACAGATCTAACTCGTTGAGGCTGAGTTTGATGAAAGTTTGGTAATACATAACCTCTGAAGTACTCCCTGGGTCTATGAGAATGCGTTCAATGGTGAACCGATTTATGCGTAATTTAATGACCAACGGATCGATGTGGGAAGCTATTGTGCCGCTAAGATCGGAGTCATTGTAAGTAATTGTCGGAGCTTCTTTGGGCCATTCAGTCAGAATACGTTGCTTTTGGGGGATTGGATGCGACTGAATTGTGTGCACGATTGGGGGTGCTGGCAGGCTGTAAATCATATGGATCACGCCAAGTGGAGGTGAGTCCTGCCTCAAGGCCAGTGCCTGGGTTGGCTTTCCCTTTCTCACATACTGTTGCAGTCGGCCGTCTTGCACCAGTTCTTCCAGGTGATCTTTTAATGCGTAACAACTTTCCGTTTCGTGGCCGTGATCTTTGTGATATTCGAACCGCCTATCCCTCCTTCGCGTGTCGGGCGGCCCCACCATCTTTGACGGCCATTTGAAGAATGGAAGGTGTTGGACTTTGGTCATTATTGTAACGATTGGTTCTGATAACTCTGTGTACTTCTTGTCGGCACGCCTCGAACGCCTGCTGTCGACTTGCAGTTGTTCATTCGTCCGGTGGGAGCATTGATCGCTTGATCGGCAATTATCCCACCTTTTGTCTCGTTTAGCGCGTTACCGAGGCTCTGGGCTAGGAGGTGGCGCGAAGCTTATTGGTTGAGCAATTTCAGGGGGGGCCATTTTGTTGGACATTTGGCCGGCTTTTATTCTCAAGGCATCATTTTCCACTTTGCAATACTCTTCAACTTTCTTCATCAACGCCCAGACTGTTTTGAGGGGTCCTCTGGTCAAGGAACTGCGAAGAGGACTGTCAGGATATAGTCCCATTTTGAAGGCGGTGATGGCCATGGAGTCGTTGCAAACGTCGTCGACGAGGTTGAAGCACTCCCAATAGCACGCCGAATACGCTCTGAGCGTTTCTCCTGACTGAATCTGCATGGCCCAGAGAGAGTCGGCCTGTTTCGGTTGCACCTCGTTAGTGATGAACCTGGCCCTGAAGGATTTCTGTAATTGATGGAAGCTTTTGATCGAGGCCGGCTCCAACTTGTAATACCACCTGACAGCTAATGGCCCCAGGCTGCTGGGGAATATTTGGCACATGAGGGCTTTGTTGTCTGCATGCAATGTCATGGCCTGCTTTGTAGTGACGGATATGATCAGTGGGGTTTGATTTTCCATCGTAGAGAGTGAATGACGGAGCTTTGAACTTCTTGGGCAGGGTTGCCCTTGCAATCCGTCGGACAAAAAGATCGTGCTGGTCCTCTTTATAAGCTGGGAGTTTCGGATCGTCCCTTCTTGTTGAGCTCCGTGATTAATGAGTTGGAGTCACTATCGGTATCCTCTGGTCGGGCTCGAGGTCGTTGTCCACCGGCCCTCGGGGGTCGCTCGGGATCTAGGTGCATGGCTTCTCTCGATTTTGCGACCTCGAGGGCCAAATCTTGACGGAGACGTTCATTTTCAGCGATCATGTTCTCTAGCCTTTGTTCCTTCTGCTTTGCTTGTTCGATGATCGCCTGCATTGTCTCGTGCGCTGAGGTCGTTGGTGAGTCGAAGTTCAAGGCGCATCTTGCAACGATGGTTTCTTTTCCGAGCATATTTGCTGGAGTGAGGTCATCTCCCTGTGCGGTCTCGTCAATAGCTACCGGAGGATCTTTAGTCACGCCTGTCATGGATGTATTTGAGTATTCCCACAGACCGCGCCTGTTGTGGAGAAAGTGGTTTTGGAAATACTCTTCAGATCCTGGGAAGACGCTAGTGATCCTCAGCTAGTCACCTGAAAAGACACAAACACTCTGGTCGGGGGTGCCAGAATTAGCACTCCGATGGACAAGTAAGTTCAGACACTCAGAACAGCTTGTTTCCCAAATTTAGTGAAATGATTCTTACATACCTTTCTACAACCGTTGTTCCTGTATTTATACTTGTTCTTTTTGATCCTCAGGGCGAGGGTCCACTTTTTAATCATTGTCCTTTCTTTTATTCGGCCCTAAGGACTTACACTTATTCGGCACATATATTATATTCGGCTCTCCACTCTCGTAGGATATAGCCGGTTAATATCAGTCTTCCAATGGTACGCACCATCTGATTTTTCCATGTATTCGGCCCCCACATATATATATATATATATATATATTTCTATACAATGTATTAATGAGTTTCTATGATGTTATATATATAATATACTTTTAAAATTATAAATAGTATTTTCTAGTTTTAATTATTAAATTTTAATATTGTTGTTAAATTTCTTATTATGTTGCGGATTGGTTAGGGTCAAGGGTGAGAGTTATATTTGTAGATTTGAGTAGGGGTGGAGGTAGGGAGTAGGGGCAAGCGGTAGAAATAGAGGTGGATGTGGAAGTGGAGGTGGAGTTGGGGGTGGGGTAGGGGGCTCCCAACCCATACCCTGCTTGTTGCTATCCCTAACTCCGTCCCTACGTCTCCCGTCAGTCATGCCTTGATTTTCCTAGTCTCGTTCTACTTGATTTCTGCCCTAATTATATTTATATGTATATAATATATATTATTTATTTATTTTTCATTATAATGAAATTAAAATATTATACTTAATACTATTTTTTACTTATTTATTTATTTTTTAATCTTATATCCTATAATTCTCATTATACTTAATACTATTTTTTACTTATTTATTTATTTTTTAATCTTATATCCTATAATTCTCATTATATATAAATAATTGTCCGTAATATTTTAAATTATCTATTATTTTTATTAATTTTTTTATTCTTCAACTTATAAAAATAATCCATCTCTTATGCTGTTACTGTCACTCTCGATTTGCCTCACCCCAACATGGTACTGTTTGTTATAATTTTTGGAGGTGATTATAGTTTATTTTGATTTGAAAAATCTATGCAAAACTGTTTAGTACAACTTCTGTTTATAACTTATTAAGCATAAATACATTAATCATTACATTCTTGGGCTTTTTTGGCTATTTTAAGCCTCTGTTTGGCAAGTTGGTTCTTGGGCTTTTTTGGCTATTTTAGCCACAAAAGACAAAATAGACTATTTTAGCCATAACAAACAAAACATCACATCCACCCCATAATCATTACATTCTTCTCTCACAAAAAAACTCAAAAAAGCCAAAAAGCCAAAAAGCTAACCCACTTCCCAAACAGAGGCTAAATAAGCTGAAAAAATTAATTATTTAAACATTAAAATATGAATATTTTTAATTTTTATTTTATAGTTATCAACTTTTAACTTAAAAAAAAAAACTCCACTAAACAAGACCTATAACACGGGATGAAATGGATTATTACAAATTCGTCCCAAACCGGACCGTGACCATTCCTAAAACAACAATTGTTTAGACCACGAAAAAATACACTACTAATAACACTAATGTGTTAAGAATAGTTAAAAAAAAAAAAACATAAAAAATAGACAAAACTCACTGTCACATTATTAGTGCTCATTCTAATGCTCTATTTCTAGTGCTCCCACGCATTTTCCTTCCTAAAATGAACCACGCTCATCCAAGCTTGTTGTTTGGACCGGACCGGTCTGTTGACCCTCCCAAAAAGTCGGCTTTGTCGGCGCTTCAACGAGAGATCTCCCCACAGAGAACCACAAGCGGTTTCCAGAAGAGTAGACTTCAAGAACAAGTAGAGAGAGTTTAGTTGCTTGGGCAATGGGTTTTACTAGGGTTTTGTAAACCCCTCTCTCTCTCTCTCTGTCTCTCTCTCTCTCTCTCTCAAAATCAAAATCAAAATCAAAATCAAAATTAGAAGTCCAGCCTCAACCAATTCAATTTCGAACAACTCATCAACCAATCCACAGACGAAGAACACTAAAAAAATGAATTTGGCAAAATGGAGCTTGAGGCCATTGATTCACCTCCGTCAATCGGCCCTCATTTGCAGACATCTTTCAACTTCATCTCCCTCCTTCATCCTCAAACAGTCCTCACTCCTCTCCCATCACCTCTCGCCGCCGCGTCCACCACCGTCGTCCGCCCTCTCCTCCACCGTCCGCTATCTCCGTACTTCTCGTGATCCCACTACGAGGTAACTAAACTAACCATAATATACATATATACAGACACATATAATATATATACACTTACATAATTGTTAAATACCTTATAGCATCGCCAATCCAATCCTTCATCATTTTTCTCGTTGAATTCAATTTGATGAAAAAATAGCTAAAATGTGTTCCAACCATTTCGTCAAATCTGTATCAAAACAAGGGAGAGCATCAAATTTTTCATCAAATCAAGTATGAATCAAATCTTTCACCAAATTCTCAACATTTCTATTTTTACTCAAATTTGATGAAACTTTAAAAAGAACAAGGATTGGAGATTGTTTTCTATCATAAAAATGGTTAAAACATGTTTTTATGATACGTTTGGAATGTTTTAAAAAGATTTGATGAAAAAAAGTGACCTAGATTAAGCTTTTAACCAAATTTCCACTCAAATTTGATGGGGAAAAAAAAGGAGTAAGGATTGGAGATGGTTTTATAGTTTGTAATTTTGTGCTTATGAGAACAGATATGAAATTTCTCCTCCTGTCAATTGGGGAATCCGAATAGTCCCTGAGCAGAAGGCTTTTGTGGTGGAACGATTCGGAAAGTATGCAAAGACTCTCACTCCTGGAATTCACTTGCTCATTCCGTTTGTTGACCGAATTGCTTACGTGCATTCCTTGAAGGAAGAGGCGATTCCCATTCCAGACCAATCTGCCATCACCAAGGACAATGTTAGTATCTTGATTGACGGGGTTCTGTATGTTAAGGTACCAGGACTGCCTTTTTGTTTTCATTGAATTAGTGGATTTCTTACTGGTTTATTGGCTTTCTGAAGCGATGGTTAAAGGTATTTTAGTTGAGTGATTGCAGATTGTGGACCCTCGTCTGGCATCATATGGTGTTGAGAATCCCTTGTATGCAGTTATACAGCTTGCACAGACAACAATGCGTAGTGAGCTTGGGAAGATCACCCTTGACAAGACATTCGAGGAAAGAGACACCCTGAATGACAAGATAGTGGTGAGAATTCATTGGTTGGCTGTTTACTTTCCACTGTGTGTTTGATTTCCAGGGGTCAAAATGTGCTGGCAAAGATTGTTGTTCATTGCATGAGTTGTCTGTCATAGTAGTAATGATCAAGTTTATGGATTAGTTAAAGCACATTACTGATAATATGCGGAAGGCATGTTGCATATATGGTGGACACAGCCTAAACCATATTCAGTGTCTATAGCTTCTGCTAGAATAATAGTAGAAGTATAAAATTGCTGTTGAATTCAAAAGGCAACATTTAGATAAAAGGTCAATTCATTTAAGAGAATGAATTTACAGTCTTAGCCAGTGAAGTACAAATGAATAGAAAACATGTGGTACTTATACGAGAAGGAATGAAATTAATGTAGGATGATTTTATTAGGTGTACTATATGACTTTGGAGATAGTAAGTGGATTGGTAGTGAGATTATACAACTATATATCATGTTGGATAGATCAATTATGGACTTAATTGATTTATATGAAGCATGTTCTCAAGTGCTTGGAAAGTTGGAAAGGTAATATTGCAAGTTTTTGAAATCATTGGTGGAGGATATTTGTTGCTGAGCCTCATCTGGCATGTGCATTGGAAGAGGACAAAGTAAATTTTCTTTCACAATGAACTTATTCTGCAACTTGAATTGTATCACTGTAGTGGTTGTTTCAGATGCACCCAGCTGAAACTATGTTGAAAGAATTTGCATTGTGTATGCCGTTGCTAATAACATAATCTTAATGAAGATACATTTGGCATAAACCTGGATCTGAACTAGAAATGATGCAACAAATGGTCTTCAGCATTTTGATAGAAACACTACATATATATGAGGGGTGAATTCAGAAACCAGGATCGAAGAACACTACATAATATTTAGTTTTGATGGCCAATATGAACATTTCCATCATTGTGGTTGTATAATTCTTTAGTGTACCAGAACCCTTGATTTTGGCACCTTATGGGTTGTTTGGGATGTTCTAAATAAGTGCACTTTTTGACTTTTTATGAAATATGGGTTGGATTTGAAGTGATATGGTAGAGAGGTGATGTGACTTAAATAAGATGATGCGACTTAAATAGGATAGTGACTTTTTGGCTTTTTGGCTTTTTTAGGGGATGACAAACAAGGCCTTAGGTAAGCTATTGTAGTATGTGTCTAACACTCTTTGCATGTTTCTGTTCAGATTTGCTACAGCTACTGTTTCACCGCCTTATATACTTAGATTTGGTTGATTTATATGCACATTTTCTCCAGATTTCCATCAATGATGCTGCAAAGGATTGGGGCTTGAAGTGTCTTCGTTATGAAATAAGTCGGTCTTTTTCTGTCCTAATACCATCTGTTGAATTCTCTTTAATAATGTTCTACTTGCAACTCATCATGCATTTCTCGTTGTCTTTTCTTTGTTAGGGGATATATCTCCTCCTCGTGGAGTGAGGGCAGCTATGGAGATGCAGGCTGAAGCTGAACGCAAAAGGAGAGCTCAAGTTCTTGAGTCAGAAGGTGATGAAGTCCTTTTCTTTTCCCCTTCAGTTAGATTGCATCGCAGTCCTTTATTTTTGGTCAAATGTGCTGATCTATTTGTTTAGGGGCATGGCAGCTATATTGGACATATTGGAAGTGAAATAGAAATATCACTGCCTTCAATTTGGAATTCCTACAATCCATTAGGAGGGAAATCTTTGAATCCACTAGGAAAGAAAAAAAGTCTGAATCTACCAAATCTGTGCCCTTTTCATGGCATGTTTGTAGGCTGCAAAAAGGTTGATAGGAAAGAGAATAGAGATGACTTCATAAAAATCACCCTAACCAATATTGTAATTTACTAGGATACACATTTGATTTGACTATTAATGCCTAAAAAGAAATAGCTAAATATATGAAACTAAGACTGCAGACTCTAAAAAGAGAGAAAAGAACAATACAACTAACTATAATTAACCCATATTTCTTCTGCTACATCAATATTTTGATTGAAAGGTGAGAAAAGTTTCCATATGTGTGATTTTAACACTAGATTGAAGTCCATCAAGGTTAAGAAAAAAGAAAGATTATTAAAAAAAAACTGAGTGTTTGGATAGATTTTCAAACTATAATTCCACCCCTACATTCCAATGCCATGTTTGGATACATCTTTCAAATTATATTTCCACAACAAAAAGAAAACTTTGTAGAAAATTCCGTGTCAGGCGGGATTTTTTTTTTTGAAATTTGGGTTAACTAGTCGTCCGGCCGGTTGACCAGGAATAGTGCATTTGTTTTTTTTTTTTTTTTTTGCAATTGGCATTTTTTTTTTAATTTTTTAATAAAACAATATTTTCAGAATTTTTTATGAGCTTTTAATAGTTTTTGAGTTGTATGTTTGGTTATGAATTGTATGTTTGGTTATGAATTGTAAGTTTTTGTATCAAATATCATATGTCACATTAAAAATTTCCCACTCAATTCAAACTCTTTTCAAACTCAGAACCAAACAAATTTTCTACACTCAAATCATAATTCCAAAACACACAAACTCAAAATACAACTCTATTCTCAAATCATATTTCCAAAACTCTTCCAAACACTACCTCATTCTTCTTGACATGATCAACTTGAATGTCCCCTTCGGAAAGAATTCATGAAAGCTCCACTATGCTTCTTTCAAACCCAATAAGGATGTTGAGGTCTTTTCCATCAATGGTGGGGACGATTATAAGTTCCTAGTGCATGCACTCTACAAGTGCTCCTCCCCAAAAGAAGGCAGGGGCTACGAACATCCTAGTTGGTTGGAGAAATAAATTACCAAATCACTATAGAATTGGAGTAATGGATGAGCAACTTCACTGATTTCACTTCCTTAGTAGACATGCAGACCCTTTTAAGAATCATTCAACCTTTACTAATCAAGTGATCAGATATTAAAGTCTCTGCTGCCGCTGTCCAGGCAGAAAAGGGTACCTTAAAGGGAAAACACTGCAGCTGACCTAAATTCCCCCATTTGGGAAATTCTTGAACTTAAACCAGCCTCAACATCGTTTAATAAAGATCTTGGAGCACCCCAGCCAGTGGAAGAAGCTAATTACCAAATCTCAATAGCAATGGGACAATTGATGGGGAAATTAACTGGTTTCATCTGCATAATAAATGTGCAGAACCTGTTAAGAATCACTCAACCTTTACTTATCAAGTGACCTGATGTCAAAGTCTCTGTAGCTGCAGTTCAGGTAGAAAAAAACTACCTCACAAGGGAAGTCCTGTATCATTTAATAAAGGCTTCACTGGAAAGAAATCACTATAAAGGAACCTCTTCCAAAGATGGATTCCATTCTACCTCACACCATATTTAGGTCTTATAATAGGCAAAGAACACATTGAAAACCTATTCTCTGACCAATGAATGTAGTCCCTGGCTAGTGTCTTTTTCTCTCACATATTCCTGATAATTGATGTGCTTTTATATTTAACAGGGGAAAGACAGGCAAATATTAATATTGCTGATGGGAGGAAGAGTTCAGTGATCCTTGCATCAGAAGCTGCAAAGATGGACCAGGTTAATAGAGCACTAGGTTGGTAATCAAAGTTTGATCAATCTATTTTTAATTTTTTTTAATTTTTTTTTAATTTTTATTTGCCCAGGTGAATAGCAGCTTCTTTTTTTTTTTTAATTTTTTTTTTAACTCGTTGAACAAAATAGACTCTTGATAAGCTGTAAACTTAACTTCAACTTGTTGTTCTCGGGGGGGGGGGGGGGGGAGATTGACCCTTGACATGATCATGGAATATATTATCAAAGAAAACCATGAATAGCATCACTATCATTTTCAACTAAGGCTAATTTTGTTGGTATGGTGGAAAGTTTACATTGTGATTTCCGTATGTGCTAAAGATGTTGCATGAGGATGGAGCTTTGTAGAGCTTTTTGTGAAAGGATGTTGCATGTGGAATGAACTGAACTCTTCACTGAATTCGGTTTTCCCGTTAGTGAAGGAGGGACTTATTCTTGTTCTTTTGCACTGTCTCTGAATATCAAATTGTAGGTGCTTCTTGTTTCAGTGATGTTCTAGTCATCCTTTTTATTGGCCCACTGCCCACTAATATTTTCTTCTGGTCAATCTAAATTGTTTGAACAATTCTAGAAGAGGATTATGTTAATGTTTCTTCACTTCAAAGCATTGTTACCCACCTCCTCAACATCTTCATCCCTCTTTATTAACAATTTTGTTTGTTATAATTTTTTGTTAAATCAGGAGAAGCAGAAGCAATTCTTGCTAAATCACAAGCAACAGCCAAAGGAATTGCCATGGTGTCACAGGCTCTTAAAGAACATGGGGGTGTGGAGGTGAGGTTCTTCGTTCCTCTTGGTTTGCACACATGGTAATCTGAAATTCCGTGCCTTGCAGAGGCCTTCCACCTTACATTGAAACACTGGAATTACTTGCATCCTCTTAGTTTTATTATCATTGTCTGCATGTGAGTTGCATATTTCCATATCCAATCAACGACAATGATGCCCTTGTGAAAAAGCTGTGCAGTAAAAATGTTGCATGATAAATACTGGCTGTTGACCTTTGCATGACTGCCTTACAAATGTATGTTATCCTTGCTTTTCTGGATTGTTGGATCCTTTTCAGCCATTGGGAATCATTTCCAGTCTGTGGATGGGGGTTTAAACACACATTACACATCTTGCAAACCATTCTAGTATTCTGTGCATTACTCACTTGAATGTTCTTTCCACTAGTAATCCCTGACTCTGCTAATTGATACTCTGTTCTCTGCACTGTTCTCATTTGAAATGTCTATTCACTACTATGCACATTCAATCTATTGGTATGATGACGTGCTGAAGTGTGAGAAACCATGTATTCAAGTATTCACGATGGAACTATGCTTTTGATACTGATTGAAGAAGCTGATACCAGTTGGATTAGTCTCCTTAAAAATTAAAATGCCTACTAGAATAAAGATGCCGATATGGAATATATGCCATTTGTGTAGAATATCTAATGACAATCATATCTGTTATTGATTGAGACTCAAACTTGTATTGGAATTTGCAGGCTGCAAGTTTAAGAATTGCTGAGCAATATATTCAAGCCTTCGGCATGATTGCCAAGGAGGTAAACAACAGAACTATTAAAAATTGTATCATAACGTTTGTTTTAATGGTCATGTGATCTAGGTATAATTTTTTCCCCCCGTCTTTTTCATATGTCCTATTAGGGCACTACATTGTTGCTTCCAACTACGGCTTCCAATCCAGCCAGCATGATGGCTCAAGCTATGAACATATACAAAAGCTTGATTGGCAACAATTCTAGTGATATGCTTCAAGATAGCTCCATGTCTGCTGAATCAAGTGATGGAGATGATCGAGGAGAGCCAGTCTTCTCTCTCCAGAACCCCAAGAAGGAACATTAGACTCCATGGCAGCCACCAATTCATCCTGCACAGCAAAGGTCTATTGTACCATTTGGTTTGGTTAGTTTTGTGGATTCCTTTCATTGTTCAGTACATTTCTACTTTAGTACAGAAAAAGCAGAGGATTCTGTAGGCTACTAGTATTGATGGAGGATGGCTACGTATAGAGTGCACTATACAAGGCAGAGTTCATTTGTCTTTTTGGAAACATTATACGGGAGGGAATTGAAAATTATTCGTCAACAACATTATGATTTTGCAATCTGTTCAACATTTATTTTTCATAGACTCAACATTTTGCATGCCAATTTTCTCCCTAATCAAATCATCAAGTGGTACTTCAAATCGAGTCACCAAGTGGTACTTCAAATCAAGTCACCAAGTGTGACCTGGATTCCCAACAGCCATACACCTAAGGTTGTTGCAATTTAGGTGAGCAAACATCATCAACTGCATAAAAGTCTGGTGATGTTAATTAATTAAACAAAATTGCATGCACCAACAACCTACATTATCTTTGCATGATAGAGGTGTGCAAAAAAAGGGCCAAACTACACCGACCCAAACTAACCAGTGTAATTTAAAAAGGAGGGTTGTGTTGGGTGTATTAGGTGATAAAAATTGACTAGTAGTGGGTTCATATTTGTTAACCTGGCTTATTTTGAAAAGTTAGTTAAAAGTTGCATTTTTGATTTTTTTTTTTTTTTAAAAACGTATAAAAAAGTAGAGAGGTGATGTGTCTTTAAAAAGTCAAAAAATTAATAAGGTTTCGTTTGGGAAGTGGGTTGGTTTTTTGGCTTTTTGACTTTTTTTGGCTATTTTAGCCTGGGCTAAAAAGCTTGATTTGGTTTGGGAAGGGATTTTTGACTTTTTGACTTTTTTGACTTTTTTTATAAGAGAATAGTGTAATGATCATGGGTTAGATGTGATGTTTTGTTTGTTATGACTAAAATAACCTATTTTATCTTTTGTGGCTAAAATAGTCAAAAGAGTCTATAAACCAACTTGTCAAACGGAGGCTAAGTTGATTTTTAACCTACTCGTCAAAAGAGTATATGCACAATTATCTTCCACTTGCCCACACAATTTCTCTCCAACACTACATTAATTGGATTACACCCACCCTTTATTTTCATTGTGTTTTTTCTAATTTGATTGTTTTGAACAAGCCGGGTACCAGATATCAAAAAGCCAACCTGATGGAAGTTGATAACTTGAACTTAAACTTGTCGGACCACACACCTTACATTGAAACACTGGAATTAAAAAAAAAAAAAAAAAAAAAAAAGCATCTTAGGAGAAACAATGATAATCTGCTGTTGCAAAGAAACCTAGGGAAACCTCAAGAAGCAATCTAAACTGTGGAATATTTGTTTTGAACAAGCCGGGTACCAAATATCAAAAAGCCAACCTGATGGAACTTGATAACTTGAACTTGAACTTGTCGAAGAGAACCAACCCAAAATATTGAATACCATCACTCTAAAAAGCTCATATGAAGAAAGAACATTCTTTCTGAATATTTCCAAGTACTTGTGTTCTTCTCTTGCCTGCTATTTGAGATAAATATTATTTCAGACATGAGAATTTGGCAAAGCCATTCAGATCTTCCTGGGCAAGGAGGTGGTGTGTGCTTCTTTCTTTACAGCCTTCACCGCTTCAACAAGTCAATTTGCTTGTAAGTATCCAAGTGCAAACCAAATCCCCAAAATACGAAAGAACGAAACCCCCACCCCTCTATAAAATTTTCAATAAGTCAATGTCTGCCGATGCACGTAAAACCTTTTCCCTAATCCAAATGTGCTAATTCTGTTATGGAGCTACTTTTTGTCTCAAAATTGTTCCTTCCCTGCCAGAAAATTACCTAATCCTCACATAGACAATTATGATGAATATGACTCAACCAAAAGAACTACAACAGAAGGGATGATAGGAAATTTTAGATGGATGCACAGACAATTATGTAAGCAGATGTTAGAAGAAGATCAGAGATCAGCTATTTAAGATAGCCTTGTTAGGTAAGTAAAAATAAGCTATACATGTTCTTCATATGATCAAAACAAAATGAGGAATTTGGCCTATAGGGCTAGTGGAACTCAAACAATTCGGAAAACGTTCAAGCCATCAAGCTGTACAAGTAATAGAAAGAAGAAACTGATTCGAAGGCAGCTAAACATCTTTTTGATCTAGAAAAACTAGTGAAATCTGTCAAGAGCCAGAAAACAGGGCAAGTATTCTGATCACCGAGATTGCCTGCAAAAAGGGGTAATAACTATTGATTCTTGCTGTGAATACATTGACATATTGAAATTTTCTTTAGTTTTGGTCTTCAATCCTTCCTCAAATTTTTCATGAAAAAACACCAAATTCCCAACCGTCATATATTTTACTCATATTTGATCAAAAATTTAAATTTCATGTAAATAGTTTAAGAATTGGAGATGATTGTCTTTCATATAAAAAAAAAAATGGTTAAAACGGATTTTTAGAATAAGTTTGGAATTTTTCAAAAAGATTAGATGAAAAAAAAGTTGTATATCATATCAAAGTATTTAACCAATTTTTCATTCAAATTTGATCAGAAAAAAATTAATGAAGAGAGGGGATGGGGGATGCTCTAGTTACAATGAAGAAACAAGAAGAAAGAAAAAAGAAAAACAGTTTTGGCAATATTTTCTGCATAATACTAGCACAAAGATGGATCATTAACTTACTCCACTCACACTGCAAAGAGCTTCAGGTATAAAATCATCTACATTTGGTCATCTTCATTTACATTCTACTAAATAACATAGTCGAATTGCAAACAACTTCAACTAATACACACATAAAATAATCTCAATTCCTCAAAAATTCATAAAAGAATAAGATCGGCAACGGCTGCAATTCTCTCTCTTATTAACAATATATTCGTCCAAATACAAAAATCAGGAAAAGAAAAAAGCTGGTGAAGGATCAAACTGTGAAAGAAATCAAATCAGAGAAGTCCGAACAAGACAGAGAAGCCAAGAAGTATGAGCCACACGATGTGAACCAACAAGAATGCCTGACCAGAGAGCGAACCACTTCCTCCATTCCCAACTTCACAAAACCCTAGCTTGGCAACACGAGTGCCGGAGCAGAGGGCGTCGGCGCATCCGCACCAGTAGGTCACGCCATCGACGCCGCACACGGGGTCGGTGCGGAAGCACTTGACGGGGCAAGAGGGAGGAGGCGCCGTGCCGGCGCAGAGAGCTCCAGCGTCATCGACGGGTAATCGGATAATGGAAGAGTCAGCGTAGTCCGATCGGACGGTGAGAGAGAGGGAGAAGGCAAAGAAGAAGAAGAAGAAGAGAGAGAAAGGGGATTTGGAGAATGAGGAGGACATTGATGAGAAAGAGCGAGCTTTCTTTGGAGAAGAGAGAGAAAGCTCGCCTTTTTTAGCATTATTGATTGATTGTTATTGTTATTGTTGTTCTTGTTTTTGTGGAAGATGGTTGGTATCAAGAAAGCTCGACGGCATCTTCCTCCTCAGCGACGTCAAAGGCAAAGCAAGGAATAAAATGCTGTTTGGTTACCTGTCTGTCGAGGCTTTTTCCAATATAAGAGCATCTCCAACGGTAGTAGGCATTTTACCTATCTAAATATTACTATAAAGTATATATTTTATTTTGCCTATCAACTGTTTTATGTTTTTACTCCAACCATGCTCTTTATTTTAGCTATTTATCCAAATACTATTAATTTTATAGAATGCCACATCAACAACAAAGATGGAGGGAAATGATCCTAATGATTGAATACATTTTGCCTAGCGTTGAAGGCTAGCTACATGTAGCTAGTGAATATGAGTTGAGCTAAAATGCCTAATCATATGCCTAGTGCATTGGGGTTTAAAAAAGTGAATCACACTAGGCATTTTAACTAACAAGTATTATATGCCTAGTGCATTGGAGATGCTCTAAGCCTTTTTTTCATTGTATTTCTAAAATTAGGTCAATTTTTGACGGAATTTCAAAATTAAGCTAAAACGTTATTACTATTCGCGCTTTTATTGTTAGGAGGCCAAAAGTTGATGAATAGTGAAATCGCTATTTGAAATCGCGATTTTAATTAAGAAAACGCTGTTCCAAATCGCGCTTTTAACATAAAAAAAATTTCTGAAGAAAACGCTAGCACTTTTACTGTGCATATAATAATTATTATTTTTTTTTTTAAAAAAAACGCCATTTGAAATGGCGTTTCTACTGTTGAATCACCAACCAAAGCCAACCCACACACTGACACACACACACCAATGGGCACACCCAACACTCAAGTATTGAAATAATATAATTTTTATATATAATAATAATTTATAATAATTAATTATATAATTTTTATAATTTTCATAAATATAAATCATTTTTAGGTTATGAATGATTTGATTTATAATACGTATGTAAGGATAAAAATTTTTATAATCAAAAATAATTTTTTCAATTTTTATAATCAAAAATAATTTATAAATTATCAAAAATAATTTATAATACGTATGTATTATTTAAATCTTTACATTTTTTATTTAAAATTTTTCACAGTAAACCCATCTTCACATTTTATAATACGTATGTATTATTCAAAAATAATTTATAAAAATTTATAATTAATACGTATGTAAATAATTTAATACGTATCTTCACATTTACATTTACAGTAAACCCATCTTCACATTTACATACGTATGGTTTAAGGGTAAAATTTTTGATAAATGATAAATCAAACCATCCATGTATTGAATATTTAACTAAAAGATAATAACAACATGCAGCAATACTAATTTCTATAGTCTAAAGGAGAAGAATATGTAGATTCCAAATTATTTTATTCAAACTTGTAATGTGTTTCATGTGTGTCTAAATGATAGACACATGTTCCTCAAGTGTCTTAAGCGTGACCGAGTCTAGAAAATTTTAAATAATAGTAGCACATATTTGGACATGCTAGGTGTCAAGAAGTGTCCAATGAGTAATGTGTAATATTGGTGTCTAACATTCTTAGAAGTGTTTGTGCTTCTTAGTTGAGGATTACTTGGCCTAAGAACAATTTGCAAACTCAGAATTCGTTCAAATATATCATTAGCAAATATACAACAATATACACATATAATAATAGTGTTAAAACAAATATTTTTTTATATATAATAATAATTTATAATAATTAATTATATAATTTTTATAATTTTTAAATTTTTTTTAATTTTTACAATTTTTACAATTTTTTTACCCTTTATTTTATAAATAAAGGGTAAAAAAATGATTTATATTTACGAAAA